TGCTTCTCCTGTGGCAGTCCCACTGGATTCCCTGTCAGACCCCTCTGCCTTCTCTGAAAAATTAATGACATCCCGTAAGAGTTTGAGGGTTAAGGATGTGGGCTGGGAACTGGAGATAAAGTTGCCAGTGCCTTCTGCAGGTTTCTGGTTCTGTGGTGAGCAATCAATCAGCAAAGGTTCATGCTCTCCCCGGGCTGTGCATTTCTTGTGATCATTTCTCAGGCCACTTCTGGCCAAGCCCTGGCACCTCCTGGAGAGTGAGTAGATGATAGCAATGTAGAAGCAGCATGGGGGGCCCTGACCGGGTAGATCAGTGGGTAGGGCATCATCCCGGTAAGAGGAGGTTGCCATTAAAGAGGAAATAAATCATAAATTGTTTTAAACACTAGAACCATAAGTGAATGTTGGTGTATTTCTGAGGTGAGGAAGGATTTTTCTCGCCATGAATCCCAAAGCCAAATGCCAGTAAAGGAGAAATGGATGGATTTGCCCACATCAAAAATAAACTTTGGCTTAGCAACAAAACATTTAGGTAAAAAACAAATGGTCCAGCCTCATGTGTTAGCCATGAAATCTGACCCCCTCAGCATCGGCAGCGTGATGGACAAGAAGCATATCCGATGTAGGGTGGACCTGGACCCTGGTTTGCACTGGGTGCCTAAGACTTATTCTGATTTCACATTTCTTTTTTTTTTTTTTTTAAATAACTTACTAAAGCCCCTCGCATTTGGGTTAGCAGCCAGAGTTCAGGGGAGGTGTGCTTTAAAAAAAAAAAATATATATATATATATATATATATATATATATATATATATGTGTGTGTGTGTGTGTGTGTGTGTGTGTGTGTGTGTGTGTGTATTTTATTGATTTTTTTTTCACAGAGAGGAAGAGAGAGGGATAGAGAGTTAGAAACATCGATGAGAGAGAAACATCGATCAGCTGCCTCCTGCACACCTCCTGCTGGGGATGTGTCCGCAACCCAGGTACATGCCCTTGACCGGAATCGAACCCTTCAGTCCGCTGAGCCAAACCAGTTAGAGCAGGGGGAGGTGTTTCTGTTCCTCGGTGGGAAAATAAAGCCTGGTGAGTCAGCCTGTTCTTCCCGTGACCGGCTGGAATACCACGGTGGCGGGATTTTCAAGCATCCCCTCTGGCAGGTCACTTAGGACACTGGTTCCCTCTGGGCCCAGGGTGTCCCAGGCCTCCCCGACATGGGTTCTTTACTGGCTTTGAGCAAAGATATATATATGACTGCTTTCTGGAACTCACAATGTCAAAATTAATGTCTTTAAGGAGAGGGCCCAATAGAGCCCCCTCAACAACGTCTGCCCAGCCGGCACGGCTCAGGGATTGTGTCAACCTACGAACCTGGAGGTCCCAGTTCGATTCCTGGTGGAGGCACATGCCGGGTTATGGGCTCGATCCCCTGTGTGGGGGCATGTAGCAGTTGATAAATGATTCTCTCTCATCATTGACATCTCTCTCTCCCTCAAGTAATATATATATATATATATATATATATATATATATATATATATATATATATTTAAAATTAAAGAAATAAAAAAGAACAAGGTTTGAGTGGTAGGTCTCTAAAGAGCCTTTTAAAGCAATGGAAGGAAGCAAGGAAGAGAGGGAAGGAGGGAGAGGACTGGAAGGGAGGAGGGGAGAGGAAAATTGGATTTTCCTCAGGAAGCTTTGGTTTCCTAGAGCTGATTTCCATAGCAAACAGGAGAATGTGTACCGACTTTCTCTAGGAAGCTCTAGGTAACGTAGGGTCCGTCTCGATGCCATGGCAACATACTGTCTTAGCTCAGGCCGCAGCAGCCAGTTCCACCGGCTGGGTGACTAATGACCAATGGAAGTGTGTTTCTCACATTCCGCAAGGGCGAGGTCCGAGGCTTCTGGGTGCGAGCCCTGTTCTGGGGGCAGCCTGCCGGCGTCTGTCGTATCCGCACGTGGCAGAGAGGGGCAGAAAGGCCACCCTGCTGACTCCAAGGGCACTAATCTCATCACGAGGGCTCCACCGTCATGACCTCAGCGAACCCTGCTGACCTCCCGAAGGCCGCCTCCGCATGCATCGCGTTGAGGGGTCGGCTCCCAGCATACACACTTTGGGGGGATGTTATACACAGGAAATGTCACGAGTTAGTAGAAAAGAGTTGCAGACGGGGGAAGGACCCGGATGATGATATTATAAATAACATTTATTCCTTACGTCCTAGATGATCTGTCACTTAACTTACCCAGGTGATGCTTCATTCCTTTTTTCTTTTTTTTAGTATGTTCTGTATGGATTTCAGAGAGGAAAATGAAAGGGGGGAAGAGAGAGAAGAACATCAATGCCCCCGCAACTCTGTTTCTCAGGGAAATGATGCCGTTTATAACATATCCTCTTCGGAAGCTGGAGTATTCTGATTCCCTGGAGGCTGACTTCTGTTGCTTTCTGAGTAGGATAAACGTGATGGTGACTTGTACTCATGCACACGATGTAAAGAGGTCTCTGTCACCCCTAAGTTTTCAATGTGGCAGTCCTTGGTTGCTTCATTCCTGTCTGCAAGGACCCCAGGGAGTTCCCTGGGGGTCGTGGTCACATAAAACAGGCCAGAAATGGTTCCGGGGAGCTAGACGGCCGTGGACTGCCAGGTGAGCTTCCGTGGCTTCCAAACCAGACTTGTGCACATTTGGTCCCCAGTCGGCTGGCTCATCTTCTCCCAGACTCCGGGGTTGGACACACATCAGATGCCTCCGGCTGGAAGCACAGGGAATAAACTGAGCATTCAGAAGCTGCTCCTGTGACAATCCGTTCATTTCTCTGCCTGTGAAACACAGGGAGACCAAAATGCACGGAGCATAACAGGTGTTTAAACTGTCGGAAGAGGCATGCCTACACGTTGAACTGTGTGTTTTAGTAACGACTCTAGGGTTTTCGCTTCTGACGGCAGCCAGGCTCCTGATTTTGGTGCCAGGTTTGGCAGCCGCTGCAGCGTGGGTGTCCGTGTGGAGCATGGAACTACAGGTGCTCGGTCCATTTCCCTCCCTCAGCTCTGCTCCCCACGTGTACTCCTGACCGTCGCTTGCACTCACTCAGCAGAGTCAGGTGGGAAGAGCACAGGCCTGGGAAAGGAGACACATCGAGGTCCTGATTCTGGCTTCCCACCTTTAGGCAAAGTGACTGTATTCCTCTTTTTCTCTTTCGTTCATGAGGCCAATAGACTGGACACTAACACCCAGCTCCCCAGCGTGGGGGGGAAGGTCCATGGCACCTGGCAGAGCACAGGCCTTGGCCATCCTTGTGTGCTCTCCTTCCACCAAGGAGGACCCTGAGGCTGGTTATTCTCAGTCCAAGGCATCCTCAGTGCTCAGCATTCTGAGCTCAAGAAAGGGGCGGCTTATTGTGGGAGAGCCTGCATGGTCAGCTTACACACGTCTAAGCCCCGAGGGAGTAACAGCTATAGAAACACCTCCACGTGCACACCGAAGAAGCTGTCTGCCATTGCTTCTGGGAACACCCCCATTTTCTGTTATTTTTCTTTTTTAAAATATATTTTATTGACTTTCCACAGAGAGGAAAAGAGAGGGATAGAGAGCTAGAAACGTCGATGAGAGAGAAACATCGACCAGCTGCCTCCTGCACACCCTCTACCAGGGGTGTGCCCGCAACCAAGTACATGCCCCCGACCAGAATCGAACCTGGGACCTTTCAGTTCGCAGACTGATGCTCTACCGCTGAGCCAAACCGGTTTCGGCCTACTGCTGAATTCTTAGTAACTTGTCTGTGTGCCTGGGTAGAAAGGTCAAGAAGGTGGAAATCGAGAACAGGAAAAGACAAAAGCCAGAGAGACATTTTATATTTTGTCAACCAACACCTCGGTGTTCACTTCCAAAGCATGAGGTGTACATGGGGAGAATTTTTGTTTAAAAATTGAGAAAATGTTGGGCGAATTTCTCAACTCGACCTATGCTGTATCTGCTGTGTCTCTGCCTGGACAGCCCCATCCCCACCATCATCACCCTCATCATCACTCATTCATACACACACAACACGTACACACACACACACACACACACACACACACAACATGCACACGCACACCCTCCTTTTCTACCTAACTCCTCTTTAGCTTTCAAGTCCCCATGCTTTGTCTTTCCAGAACCCCAGTTCTGAATTGGGCTCCCCTCTGTGCGGCTCCCAGGGGATCCTAAACCCCCTCCAGCACGAGGCTTACCACACAAGAGCCATCACCTCACTGGACGAGAGCTCCCTGAGGGCAGGACCCGGGTCTGTCTTTTCCGCAGCTCGATCCCTCGTTCCTGGAATGGCACGCCACACGCTTATGGAATACGTGAAGTTCGATGAATCTGTATAAGCCCTTTCTTTGTAGGAACTTTTGTTTATCTCTCTGAACAACATCGGTCGAGGACGGCTGGTCAGGTTGTGCTGTACTAGGACGTCCAGCGAGAGGGGAGGGGAGGGGAGGCGGAGATCAGCCCACCTGCCCATCACCAAGCCATTTGCACAGGCCCCACCCGCCTGGAGGACAAGGTGCCTTTTTCCGATTGATTTGCACCGCGGCTTCATCTCTGAACAGCACGTGGCGTCTTCAGAGGCAGTGAGGACTCGCCCTCGCGTTCCTAGGAGGACGAGGCCTGCGTGCTTTGGTGAAACTTTCCGTGGGCCGAAATCGGTTTGGCTCGGTGGATAGAACATTGGTCTGTGGACTCAGGGGTCCCAGGTTCGATTCCAGTCGGGGGCAGGTGCCTTGGTTGCGGGCACATCCCCGGGTGGCGGGGTGCAGGAGGCGGCTGGTCGGTGCTTCTCTCTCATCGATGTTTCTATCCCTCTCCCTTCCGCTCTGTGAAAAAGCAATAAAATATATTTTTTAAAAAGAAAAGGAACTGTTTCTGTGGGTCCTCGGCCCCCATCAGCGCTGAGCCCCGACCCCACCCACAGCCCCGCTCTCCCTCAGCCTCTCTCCTCTGGCTCTTGTCTCCCGCAGGGTTCGGGATGACGACCCCCGCGACCGTCGGAGGGAAGATCTTCCTCATCTTCTACGGCCTCCTCGGCTGCGCCAGCACCATCCTGTTCTTCAACCTCTTCCTGGAGCGGCTCATCACCGTCATCGCCCACGTCACGAAGTGCTGCCAGCAGCAGCAGCAGCGGCTCCGGAGGGAGGGCGCCCCGCCGCGGGGGAGCCCCAAGAGCCCGGGCTGCGGCGGGGCGGCGGGCTGGAAGCCCTCCGTGTACTACGTGATGCTCATCCTGTGCCTGGCCTCCCTGCTCGTCTCCGGCTGCGCCTCGGCCATGTACACCTGCATCGAGGGCTGGAGCTACTTCGACTCCCTGTACTTCTGCTTCGTGGCCTTCAGCACCATCGGCTTCGGGGACCTGGTCAGCAGCCAGCACGCCGTGTACGAGAGCCAGGGCCTCTACCGCGTGGCCAACTTCGCCTTCATCCTCATGGGCGTCTGCTGCATCTACTCGCTGTTCAACGTCATCTCCATCCTCATCAAGCAGTCGGTGAACTGGATCCTGCAGAAGCTGGACGGCGGGTGCTGCGGGCGCTGCCGGGGCGGCCACCCGCGGGCCCGCAGGAACGCGGTCACCCCGGGCCACGTCCGCTCGGGCGGCGGGGGGACGGAGGGCGAGGCGGGCGGGCGGCGGCCCTCGGAGGAGGTGGTCTCCATGAAGGACTTCCTGGCCGCCAACAAGGTGTCGCTGGCCGTCCTGCAGAAGCAGCTGTCCGAGACGGCCAACGGCTGCCACCCCCAGGCGGGCACGCAGCCCCAGGACAGCGAGTTCTCCGGGGGCGTGGGGGCCTTCGCCATCATGAACAACAGGCTGGCGGAGACCAGCGGGGACAGGTAGGGCCGAGGAGGCCGAGGGGAGGACGGCGGGGGGAGGAGCGTCACGGAGCTGGGCCTTCCCTCCGACTTCCTGAAGCCCAGCTGGAGAGATCTCCTTGTTTGGGCTCCAACAAACAGCTGAAGCCTCGATGCCTTTCTCCTGATCTTTATTCTTTTCATTTAAATTCAGTCTTTCAAACACAAATCGCAGAGCAGCCCAAGACCGAGAGCTGTTTCTTCGCTCCTCCTGCTCCAGGGTTTTCACTACTTGCTGGAGGGGAAGGGGGAGAGTAAGCCTTGGTTTGCTGTTGCTCTCATCTTCCTTTGGAAATGGAAGCCCTCATTTCTTCCTGGAGCCCAGCATGGCCTTGTTCACTCCAGCAGGGGAAGCGCAAAGCCGGTCTGGGCTCCGGCTGCCTTCGGCGCAGGTTAAACCTAGTGCCACGGCCAAGGCAACCATCTGGTTTAGTCTTTACCTAGGTCTCTGCTTTTTTGCATTTCCCCCCCCTTTTTAAAGATCTTAATGCTTGGCCAAAGTATCTTTGGAACTGTTATGCTCAGATTTCATGATCCCCTAAGACCACCAGGGAGCCGAGTCTGATGCAAAAGCAAAGAGCCTTTATTTGAGCTAGCCCAAGCTCAGTCACATGTGTGCGCGCGCACACACACACACACACAGCAGTGCAGCGGCGAGGTGGGGAGAGAGAGTGAGCTTCAACTGAACAAAGGTTTTATAGGGGTCTGGGGCATGGAGAGAGTCGGACCCCTGAGTTGGCTGACCCAGATTGGCCAGTTCCAAGTCAGGGTTTTATTCCAGGGTTTTTCAGCAGGGACCTACACAAAGAGCAGGAAATGACTAATTCCTGGGTCTGAGCCATACCCTGCTACCTCCTGATTAGTCAAGGGTGGCGCACAAGGCCAGCATCGAGATAACCACTAAGTGCACATGGGGCTGGCTCTTCAACAAAAAGGGAAGTTCTGCTTATTGCCTTGCTCTGCCCTTTCAGGATGTCCATATGTTAAGAACATGAAATTCAGCAGCGAAGAGGTTGGGGAGCCTCACCTTCGAGACTAAAGAATGCGGTTGGACATTCTCGCTGTCCGTGGTCACAGGGACCCCTTGTTCTTACCAGGCCTGGGGGCAGAGATCATGACTGACTAGTTGTTAGAACTGGAAATTCAATAAACCCTCATTTTATTAACTAAGAGTCCATGGCTGCTCACTGGGGACGGGCAGGGGGGGAGCGGGGAGGCGAAGGGGTTGTCTATGGAAACAGGCCTTGCTTGCACTCAGAGGAACAGGAAGCAGGGAATGAACCTTTGGGGATAGGAGCCTCATCTTAGATTCGTGGCTGGAGAAACTTCTGGGCCAGAAAATGAAATGTGGCTTTCCTTGTGGCATCTGCCCCAGCTCTGCCTTCTGGGATTGTAAGAAGCCCAGTTGCACAACCTCCCAAGCAGTGAACGTGTCCGCGTGTGGAAAAAGGGCTATCCATCTTCACGTGGCAGGAGGGGACGTCGTAGGGAAGGGAGCACAGCGGAGAAGAGAGATAGCTGTTGTTTTTATGCGATAAGAATGGTGCACACACAGTTCTTCCAGATGTGATGAGGAAAGAACCGGTGCAATAAAGAAGATAAAGAGGCCCTGGCTGGTTTGCTCAGTGGTTAGAGTGCCGGCCTGCACACTGCATGGTCTCGGGTTCCATTCCCAGTCAAGGGCACACTGTACCTCGGTTGCAGGCTCCATCCCCAGCCCCAGTCAGGACGCATGCAAGTGGAAACCAATTGGTTTATCTCACATCAATGTTTCTCTCTCCTTCTCACCCTCCCCCCTTCCGCTTTCCACTCTATCTAAAAGCAATGGGAACATATTTACAGATAAGGATTTAAAAAAAAAAAATGAAGAAGATAGAGGGGGAAACTGAAACTGATGAAACAGAACTGTTGAGCAGAACCCATCAGAGCTGGGAGGACCGTCAGGGACCATCACATCCAACCACCTTGTTTTTCACACGGGGAAACGGGCACGGAGGGATTGCTCCATGTCTGAGCGCTCAGGGCCGATGGGCTACAGCGAGGGGAGCCCAGGCCTCCGTACGGGGAAGCCGGGCTCTTCCTCCAGGCTCCACGCAGCCGCGGAGCCTCTTGCAGCCGCTCCCTCTTCAGGCTGACTTGCCTTCCAGCTGGCAACCCCAAATATTTCCTCCACAAGGTCAAGCGGGCCCGGCGGCAGAAGTGTGTTGAGTAGCAGCCCCAGGCTTTGAATGTGGGGCTCTGCAGCTCCGCCGTCAGAGGTCTTCAGCCCTGGGAGAAACCCTCTTCCACGCAGAAGCATTCCCAGGGATAAGCACAGGAGGAACGAGGGAAATAGCTCCCATCAGAACATCAAGGTGACAGGTGCAGTCAGAGCGATCCGCCAGGGGGCGCTGAAATGAGTGATGCTCACATTTAAGCCGAGTCAGGACACGTGTAACCTCAATGGGTCGCCACCAAAACATCTAGTAATTACAAAGGGAAAACAGCAACTTCCCCGTGTCGAACTCTGGCAGACACCGCATGAACCAAGAGTGTTAACATCACCAGTCACACAGGCCGACGTCACACATCACCTGACACAGTGCCCTGAGCAGGGCTCACCACCTCTGTGGCATCCTTCTCGGGAGCACATACCTCAGTCCCCTGGTCGGCAAACTGCGGCTCCCCAGCCACATGCGGCCATCTGGCCCCTTGAGTGTGGCTCTTCCACAAAATACCACGGCCTGGGCGAGTCTATTTTGAAGAAGCGGCGTTAGAAGAAGGTTAAGTTTGAAAAAAATGTGGCTCTCCAAAGAAAGTTCAATCATTGTGCTGTTGATATTTGGCTCTGTGGACGAATGAGTTTGCTGGCCACGGCCTTAGTCTAATCACGAGAAAACCACAGACAAAGTGGGGCATCCTATCAGGCAAAGCTGTCAAGCTAACGAGACACAGGAAGACAGGCGTGCTGTCCCAGGTGGGAAGAGACCGCGGATGGGGAAATTCAACATGGGAGCCGGGACTGGGTGGATCTTGACTCACGGAAAGGAAGTTAGTGGGAATGCTGTGGTCTAGGTGGGCATCGTCTTCACTGAGGTTACCTTCTTGGTGTTGATGGCTGCTGTGGGTATGTAAGGTGTTAACATCAGGGGAGGTTGGGGAGACGGTATATGGAAAAGCTCTGTGCTACTTTTGCAATGGGAACAGACATCCAACATTCTCTCAAAGTAAAACGTTAAAAAAAAAAAAAATCAAAACTCTCAGGATTGCACACGGTCAGTCACACCTTCCAAATAACAGCACCACCTCTGCCTACATCCAGGATGCCAACTCATCACCCTCGTCTAATGCCTCCTGAGAGCAGCGTCCACGGTAGATGTCTTGGCGTCCGGGCAAGTCAAGTTCATCAGCAATGGCCGAGACCTGAGCACACGCGTGGGACTCCAATTCAGATTTCACGTCCTCGTGAGTTGTGGCCAGTGCTCTCCAGCAGTCGCCTGGAGAGTGTGGTCCCAGCCCGGCAGCAGCCCCTGGGAACTCGTGGGAAGTGCAGATTCTCTGCGCTCCAACACAACGGGAGGAATCAGAAGCACGAAGGGCGGGGCCTAGCCATCTGCATTTTAACGCGTCCTCCTGGTGATATTTTCCAGGAAAGAATGTTGTCCTGAGCATGAGCTGGGACGGACAGGACAGAGGCCCTCCCCTGGAGCCCAGCTCGTGTCCCCGCCATGTTCTGCCGCTGTCACCAGACCCCAGGGCCTCCCAGACTGACTCTCTCGTCTGCATCTCGGAGCCATTGCTGATGAACTTGACTTGCCCGGACGCCAAGACATCTACCATGGATACTGCTCTCAGGAGGCAGAAGACGAAGGTGATGAGTCGGCATTCTGGATGTAGGCCGAGGTGGTGCTGTGCTTTGTGGAAGGAACTTCTTAAAAATTACCACCTCGTGATGGTCCTTGGGGAGAAGATCTCTGTGTCTCCGTAGGCTGTTGGCTGTTGGCTGATTGAGTGTCCAGTCTTCCCGGCAGCGGCCTTGGAATTTGAGTCAACACAGAATCACCTGCCAGAGGCCCTGCGCACCCACCATCCTCAAGCCCCGAGCGGCACCTAGGGGCATTTTTTTAATGCATATATTTCAGGCTTTTCCTAGACCTTCTCAATCAGAACCTGTCTGTCTGTCTGTCCATCCATCTCCTATTGGCTGTGTTTCTCTAGAGCACCCTGACTAATGCACGTCCCCACCTCACTTTCTCATTCCCTCCTGGGTTATTCTGGAGAACATAAATGGTCTTCTCACCGTTTATGAAGAACCATCCTTCCCTTTAAAAAAAAAAAAAAAAAATATATATATATATATATATATATATATATATATATATATATATATATATTGCCGAAACTGGTTTGGCTCAGTGGATAGAGCATCGGCCTGGGGACTGAAAGGTGCCGGGTTCGATTTCTGTCAAGGGCATGTACTTTGGTTGCGGGCACATCCCCAGTAGGGGGTGTGCAGGAGGCAGCTGATCGATGATTCTCTCTCATCAATGTTTCTAACTCTCTATCCCTCTCTCTTCCTCTCTGTAAAAAATCAATAAAATATATGTTTAAAAAAATAAAAAATAAAAAAATATATTTTTTATTGATTTCAGAGAGGGAAGAGGGAAAGGTAGAGGGAGATGGGAACATCAATGAAGGGAGAGAATCACTGATTAGCTGCCTCCTGCACACCCCCAACTGGGAATCAAGCCCGCAACCTGGTCATGTGCCCTGACCAGGAATCGAACCGTGACCTCCTGGTTCATAGGTGGATGCTCAACCATGGAGCCACGCCGGCCAGGCCCTTTTGGATTATCCACCTTCAAGGAGAAGAGGCCTGTTACTGAATGTAACATGTCTAATTGGCTTCACCAAGGAGAATTCTTCAAAATGATTGCCGGTAAGGATACCAGTATATATTTTAAAGTCAAAGAACTTTCTAGAACGTGGAGTTACTGGGGGGGGGGG